AATAAGTATTAAAATATAATATATATAAATTTTATAATTTTTGACTGTATAGTTAATAATTTAAAAATTGTCAAAGTAATTGTATACTGTACAGTATTTAATAATTAAATTATTATTAAATATTGATTATTTTTTTTTATTTCATATGAAAATAACATCGTAACTAAACTGCATAAGGAAAAAAGAAAAAAAATGTACAAATATGCAACAAGAAAATATCGTGATATGATACTGGCTTTGAAGAATAAGTTTCTTAATCAAAAAAGAAATCACGATATAACTGTAAAAAAAATTTTTTTGACAAATTAATATTAGTATGTTATCGAAAAAAACTAAGTGATAACAAATCAAGCCTCAATAAAATGATCGTCATAACTGCCTGTACTTTTTGTATGATCATCGAAGTTCTATTTTTAAAGTTGCACAAAGTACTCTGAAAAGGCGCCAACCCCACACTTATAACCTGAGTCATTCATAGTAATCGACAGTTTAAATCAAGTATCATTACATCATCATAATTATCAACAGTTTAAACCTAGTATAATTACGTCATAACGTGGTTAATATAAAAGAACCCTTTCCTCGTCCTCCTTATTTTTAAAAAAACTTGCAATTAAATTATAACAAACAAACAAAAAAAAAAATCATAAAATCATGTTCTCGACTACTCTTGAACACAACGAGATAGCTTATGGCCAAAACATTCGAGGGTTCGATGCATTTGTTCCAGATGCCTTTGGCTCGAATCCAGGTAATTATTGATACACAATATTTTACTTGCAACAAAAATCATTTCGTGTGGTTTCTTATTTCTTGATAACATTATTAGCACAAATGGAACGGTTTTACAATGAGATATATGTACATCCGCCGAATCCAAGAATTCCTGTCTCACCGGCTACACTTGCAGGCGCCGCTGCCTATAAGGTAACTTTTATTATATATATATACTGTATATGAGTGCATGTTAATGAATTATCAATTTTTACATTTATCTGCTACTTTAATCAATAGGCTGTAAGATTACATGATTCGCATCCAAATTTTCCTCAGAAGAGTCATACATATGAAATTAGCAAAATACGTGAAATCGCAGCATACGAAGCTTTACATTTACTTCAAATGTTTCCTCTTCCAAATGTCGATCCACAAATTGTGGTGGTGTCGGCTGAAGCAGCTGCTCACAGATTATATGACCACGAGCATTTCTAAACGATTTTTTTTTATATAATTTGTGACACATGTAATGTAAATAATGTTTTTATAAATTTTGCTAATAAATACCGGATACTTTGCTTATGTACAGTAGAAACCAAAATTGATGTATTATTTATAAAAAACCGGAAATTTATGTGTATATACAAAAATAAAAAAAATCTTTTTTAAAGTTTTATTGATTCATTTATTAGTATTTGGTCGGCCTTCCATCTGCCATGGTACATGAAAAATCTTCATATTTTTGGATATTATCCTTCAATAGCTTCCAATGTTTTTAATAGGGTTAAGGTCAAGGGATGAAGCTGGTCAAATCATCAGTTTAATTTTTTCTCTTGCAAATCAACTTAAAATATTTTTTACTATATGGATTGGTACATTGTCATGCTAAAACATTAAATGAGAACTCAATAATATATGTACTGTATCAAAAAATGATATGAATTAATCTTCTAAAACTTTTAGATACAGCAAGTTTTTGCCTTGATTGTTTTTATATTCCTTAAAAAATATTAACGAGCTTTTTGTTTTTCTCACAAAATATTTTTAAATTATTAATAAATATCTATCATTTTTAAAAGCTGATATCAAGAATTCAAAATTATATTTCTTACTATTGTAATATTATATTCTTACTAGTTGAAAAATATTTATTTAATATAATAATATTTGTGTAATATTTATTTAAAAAAATAAATAATTTGGCAAATTAATAATATAAATAAATCATTAATTTATTTTTACTATATAATTTAATATTTTTTTTTTTATTAGATATTAATAAAAGTCTAGTTTATTAATATATATATTGTGAAAAATTCTTTCCGCTGATTCATATTTTTTAGAAAATTTCTTTTTTTAGTAATTTTTGAAAAAAAGAAAAGCCAGCTCAAAAAACAAGAGAAAACCAATATCAAAGACCATCTACTTACAAGAAACACTATAGAAATACTATAGAAACAACTATTTATAGTATAGAAACAGATAAGTACTTAAAAACTTCTAGCCTTTTTATATAAAATTTTTTAGAAAGAACAAACAAAGACAAAAACTGGATCATAGTAAGCATTTGAAAGCTCAACATAAATTTTACAAAGTTTTTAGCCAGGTTAGTACAGGTTAACACCTTTTTAGGTATCAAAAGAACCCCCACAAACAATAATTTAGACTGATAAATCAGTCTAAACTCAAATATCCATAAAATTTAAAGAGATGTTTAAGTTTTATTAACTATATAGTAAAGAAGCACATATATCACAACAAACAAAATTTCAATAAATACAATATTATATGAATATGTACATATATATTTTCTCAAGAAAAACATAATAAAAAAAAGACACCTTCATATAAATAATGTTTACAAATTATCTATGTATTTATAATAAATAAATTAACAATATCTATATTTTCACATATCTATAACAAACTGATCAATAATAATAATATATTATCATAACAAATATATAAAACATAATCTAATTTCACTATATAACAACTTTAAAATTTTTTTGCATTATTAAATTAGTAACAAGGAATAAACAAATCTTCACTATATGTTATAAACAACAAAATATAAATAAAACTATTAATTTGTGATATGTGACAAGTACAAAAATGTCAACAATATAAAGATTACTTTAAATCACAAAGAAATATGAGATTTACATTCTAGAAATTCTGATCAACTTATTAAACAAATACAATCAAGTGAAAAAACTATAGACAATACAAATAATTTTCAATACAATCTCTATACAAGAAGACAACTTCAATTTAACTCCAGTCTTATAAGATACTCAATTCTAGATAGTATTATAACTAAAATTCTCAACATTGATAATACACTTTCATTAAAGCTACAATTCTAAGACAACATATCCTATATTTATAGGTCCAAGGACAAGGAAAAAAAAATAATTTGCTGGTCTCTTTCTTTGAAATCAAGTATATAAAACTAATAAAACAAGAGAAAAAAATATATTGATAGCAACAAATAAAACAAGAAAACATAATTACAAATAACCCATATTCAAGTTTGACAAAATTATCAAATAAAGAAACAGTTATAGAAATTTAATTAATATGCACAATAGAAATTTCCAACAATATCAAAATAAAAATAGGTGATAAAAAGATTGAAATAAAAAAAAATTCAAAAAGAAATAAAAGAAGACAATATTACAGAGTCACAATTCTACAATACTAAAAATGAATCAAAATCAACTAGTATTAATCTATTTTATATTATCAAAAATGAAGCATACAAACTGAGAACTTTAATATTCAAAATATTAAAAGAAAGTAAAAAAGAAAGAATAACGTATCTTTAAAATATTCTTAATATACCAAAGGAACTTTAACTATATATATAAAAAAATTTCTTAATAGTAATACTTGGTAACCTTTACTTTTAAAAAAAAAGATACTTTGAATTGTTTGAAAAAAGTCAACAAAAAAGAGGATGAGAACTTTACAATAATACCCATAAGCACAAAAAAATAAAAAGAGCCAAAATTTTCACTTGATAAAAAAATCTTCAGAAAAAAAAAAAGGTGAGAACAAAGACCTATTTGTAACTCTAATTGATATTGACCATAGCTATACATGGCAAGAAGTTAAAGCAGTCTTATAGATATATTGAAAACTTATAAATATCCATATATATAATTACTCAAAATTACAATAAAAAATTAAGGCATGAATTACTTCTTATAAATAGAACAATAAGTTAAAAGATCTATAGATAATCCTTATCAAAACAGAAGTAATAAGGGCTATTTTTACAAAAAAAAAAACTCTTTCTGCTGATCCTTAAATTTTCAGAAAATTTCCTTTTTTGATAATTTTTTGAGAAAAAGAGAAACCAGTCAAAAAAACAAGAGAAACCAAAAGAAATCATCTTTATAACTAAACAACTTACAAAAACAAGTTTAAGAACTCTTTGTAGAGTACAGAAGAGATAAGTTTTACAAAAATTACTAACTTCTACTATATAAATTTTTTCTTTTAGAAAGAGAAAAACAACAAGAAAGACTGATTCACAGTAAGCTCTTGAAAGCCCAACATCAACCTCACAAAGCTCCTAGCCAGACCAGTGCAGGTTAATATCTTTCTAGATACCAAGAGAAGCTATACAAGCAATAACTCAAACTGATAAATCAGTTCAAATCCAAATACTCATAAAACCTAGAGGGATATCTAAGCTTCATTGACTATACAGTAAAGAAATATACTTATTATAACAACAGTATTTCAATAATATTATGTCATGCAAATACAAACATGTATATTTTTCATAACAAACTCAAAGATATATCAAATAAACAACATTAATACACTTTCTACATATTTATGCAAATCAATTATCAACAACCTCATAATCCCATGTGTTTACACAAATTAATTATCAACAATTTTATAATCCCATATGTTTATTATTGACTGATCAACAATATTAACAATACTATCACAATATACACGTGAAACAATATTACCAACATGTCACAACAAATAACAAGGTTTTTCCATATTACCAAAATAATAATAAGAAATAAACAAACCTGCAACACATAAAAAAAAAAAAACTCTTTCCGCTGATCCCAATTTCCTAAAAAATTTCTTTTTTTGATAATATTTTTGAAAAACCAAGAAGCCAGCCTCCAACATCTAAGAAACACATAGTCTAAAAAAAACAATAGCTTGCTACTAAGCTTTAAAACCACTATACTTCTTTATAATAACAATTACAGGATAAGTATTAGAGAAAAAACTATCACAATATAGTTTTTCTTCATAAAGGAAAGAAAATTCCAAGAAAACTAATTCACAATAAGCTCCTAGAGGCTCAACCTCAACTCTACAAAGTTTTCAGCCAGGCCAGTGCAGGTTAACACCTTTCTTGACACTAAAAGAAACACTATAGGCAATAATTTCAACCCATAAATCAGCTAAAGTTCAGAGCCTACAACACTTAGGAGGATGTCCAAGTCTCAATTACTCAACAGTAGAGAGTAACATAAACAACACAACAATACTCCATATCTTAGATCATGTAACGCGAACATGTCATGTCTACCAGTTTGAATAGCAATCCACTTATATGTCTAATAAATAACCTGTTTACATGTTTTTGCTTCATATTTACACGTGATAATAGTTATCAATAATACAACAGATTTAAAAATAGTAACACAGCTTACAATCAACAGATCAACACCTTGTTTACGTGTTTACATTTCATACTTATATATAATAGAAGCTATCAACAATAATAATAGATCTAAAAATAGTAACACAACTTATAATCCAAAGATCCACACCTTGTTTATATATTTATACTCTACACTTACATATAATAATAGCTATCAAAATACAATAGATCTAAAATAGTAATACAACTTACAATCAACAGATCAACATCTTGTTTATATAAACAAAACAAATAAACAAACAAACAAATACTACCTAAATAAGCAAGAAACAACTATCATATAACTCAGTACTATCCAAGATAGCATTTAATAAAACATATCAACACTATATATAGCAACCTACTCTCCATATCACGTGATCAACATGTCTATAAGAAAATACAAACTCTTACAGGTCACTAAGAAAATAGAAACATATATCATTGAAACTTTAGTTCAACTAATGGATAAATATGATCAACAAAGAAAGTTATGGGCCTCACAAACCTTTTTGAATGTCACTCAACTCAAAAAGCTATTGCAAATCCAGTTCCAGGTCCAACTAGATACTCGATTATTGATAGTATCATCGTTAGAATTCTGGATATTGATCACACTATTTTTATCAAAGCCAATGTTCTTAGACAACATATTCTTTACTTATGGACTATAGGATAAAAAAAATAAAAAGATCTTCTAGCTCCCTTTTTAGAAAACAAATATATGGATATGATAGAACAGGCAAAACAAACACAATATACCTTACAACCATTGCCAACAAATCAGTCAATGATTGGAAGTGAT